AAATATACCAAATAAGAATAAATCCTTAATAACATTAAGAAATGATAGTGTTTATACTATTGATCTTAATGATTTTCATGATACAACTTATTTTTTGGCTTTGAATAATGATGCATGACTTTAGTATGGGAGACAACGGCATGATATTATGAAATTGATTTCTCAAATCGAAACTAAAGAACTAATAAGAGGAATGCCTAAAATCAAATTTGTTAAAGATAAAATTTGTGTTACATACCAATTAGAAAAATATATAAGGAGTAATTTCAAATTCAAAAACTAAGTACCTCTATGCCATTACAACTAATTCATATGGATTTATTTAAACCCATTGATATCACAAATCTATAAGATAGTAAATATACTTTTGTAGTTGTTATTGATTATAATAAATATACTTAGACATACTCCATAACACATAAAAAATAATTATTTTAAATATTTTATCAAGCTTTATAAAAAAGTTCAAAATGAAGGAGATTTTATAATTTCTTCTATACGTAGAAGTGATTTGAAAATCATAATTTTCAAGAATTTTATGATTCGAATGAGTTTAATTATAATTTCTCTAACTCCAAGAAATTTGTAAGAAAATGGAGTTGTTAAAGAAAATATATGAGCTTACAATAACATTATTTAATGAACATAACTTACCTAAATAATTTTGGATCAAAGTCATTAATGCGACATGACCAAGGTTCTTATAAGATCTGATCTATCTAAAACTCTTCATAAATTGTAGAACCACAAAAGACCCAATATTTTATATTTCAAAACTTTTGAATATAAATATTTTATTTTAAATGACAAGGATGTCTTTAAATTTAATATAAAATATGATGAAAGGTATTTTTCTTGGATATTCTTCTACCTCTAAAACTTATCAAGTTTTAAATAAAAGATCTTTAGTTATTGAGAATACATTCATGTTGTCTTCAATGAATCTCTTCAAACTAAGAAAATTAATTTTGATAATAATTTTAAATTTGATAAATTAAATTTAAATGAACTCTCTACTCTTCAAAGCAATTTAAATACATATACTTCTAAAGAAATCTTACCTAAGAAATGAAAGTATATAGATGTACATTCTAAAGATCTTATTATTGGGGATATAATAAAACATGTTCAACCTCATTCTTTTTAAAAAAAATATTTATACAAATACTATTTTTTATCTCAAATTAAGCTTAAGTGCATTGACAATGCTTTTAGATATGACTCATGAATCTTAATAATGTATGAAAAGCTAAATCAATTTAAATGAAATAAAGTTTAAATACTTATTCTTAGATCTAGTGATCATCTTGTAATTAACACGAAATGGGTCTTTAGGAATACATAAGATAAACAAATGTCGTGATTCAAAAGAAGACTATGTTAGCGGCCAAATGTTTCAACCAAGAAGAAGATATAGACTATGAATAAATATTTATTCCTATAACTAGACTTGAAGGCATAAGGATACTTTTTGCCTATGCATGTTTTAAAAATTTTAAATTATTTCAAATTAGATATTAAAAGTATTTTTCCTAGTTATTTTATCTCCAAAAAAATTTATGTTGAACAACCATCTAAATTTAAAAATGATCTTTTTCAAATCATATATAAATTATTTAAGATTCTCTATAGGTTAAAACAAGCCCCTATGGCTTGATATAAAAAGCTTAGCTTTTTTCTTATACAAAATAACTTTTCAAAGAACAACATCGATACCACATTGTTTATTGAATATTTTAATAATAATTTTTTATTATTTAAATTTATGTTAATGATATTATTTTTTGTTCTACTATTGAATTTTTATGTGAATCAATTGCTAAGAGTATGAGTTGAGAATTTGAAATAAGCTTCATAGGTGAATTGACATTTTCCTTAGGATTACAAATTAAACAAATAAATAATGAGATTTCAATTAGTCAAACTTAGTATATTCTTAATTTATTAAAATAATTTTATATGAAAAATGATAAAGCTATCAACATACTAATGAATATCTTTGCTAAATTAGATATGGATAATGAACGAGAATGCTTTGATTAAAAGACTTATAGATGTATGATAGGTAGTTTACGATACTTTACTGCAACTAATGCTAATTAGTGTCTAGTGTTGGACTTTGTACAAGATTTCAATCTAATCTTAAACAATCTTATTATAAAGTAGTAAAAAAAAAATTAAATACTTAAAAAGAATGTTGGGATTATGATATCGTAAATCTAAAAATTTTGATTTGATTACTTATATTGATGCTAACTTTGTGGGATATAAAAAAGATGGAAAAAGTATCTTTGAAATTTATTAGTTCTTAGGTCATGTACTTATTTCTTGGTCATCTGAGAAGTAAATCTCTATTGCACTATCTACAACTAAAGTTGAATATGCTATGGCAAGTACATTTTGTGCAAAGATAATTTGGATGAAAAATACTTTAAAAGATTATAAATTTTGCTTTTAAAATGTCTATATAAAGTGTGACAATATTAGTGCAATTTGCTAATCAAAATATTCTATTCAACATTTTTGAACCAAGCATATTGATCTTAGATATCATTTCATTAGGAATTATGTTAGTAATCATGATATTTTTTGGATTTCATAGACATAAAATATCAACCTATAGATATTTTTACTAAACCTCTAAGTAGGATTTAAATTAACTTTATTAGAAAAGAAGTAGGAATGTTGAATCTTTCAAATGTATAATTAAATACCTTTTACTACTAATTCTTCTATGATTCTTTCTTTTTACTGATATCTGAGAGAGATTTATCCGAATGAATTATGATTTATACTAGATTTTTCTCTTGACTTCATAGTGTCTATGAATTGAACTTATCTTTAATGACATAATATTGAGATCTTTCATGTACCATGATATCAAAGTAATTTTTATTTTCACACAATTGGATCATTGATCTACTTCTCTATTTTTGCTGATGACAAAAGGAGAGAAATAGTAACTTATGTTTTTTTATCGTTGACAAAGAGGGAGAAATAACGGCTATTGTTTAACTTTTATTTATCTTTGTTGATGACAAAGGGGGAAAAGTGATGACTCATACATGAACAAGTAGAATCATGTTGTCTATTTTTTTTTTTTTTTGGTTATACAACTCATATTTAATTTATGCAAATTGTTAATTTACATTTATCTTTTGATTGACATTATACGGTGATAATGGTTGAAATTTAAAATTTAAAATGATCACAATTATAACTAGAAATTTAAACCTTCATTGAATAATTAGGTTTAAAATGATAATATCAAAAAGATTGAATTTGTTTCAATTTAAATTTAGGATAAGTATTGAAAATATATATGCTTTTTATTTTTGAGTTCAAATTCTTCGTAATTTTTATAATACAATGAGAGACTTGTTAAGACCCATCATCAATTGGTTATCATCGGAAAAAAGGAAGAGATTTTTGAATCATGAATTTTAATGATGAAATTAATTAATAAATTTATTAGACTAATATAATTTTAAGATAAATGATACAGGAAAATACTTTGATCATGGAATTGGACTATCGAGGGGCTAACTTTCAAGTAAGAGAGTTAGATGTTGTACGAGAAAATTATCGTATCAAAAATTTAATGCCGAGCTAGAAGATTGGTCGACGTGTTGGAGATTAGATTAAATGCTATAGGTTTAGGTATCATGCTAGAAGGATCAGATACTACATCAGAAGATTGGATGTCATGAAAAAATCAACATGATGGTGGAATGTGAAATATGTCAAAGGAAAGGGTGATGTACTAAAAGTTCAGACAAAGTGTTGAAAGATCAGATGACATGTCGGAAGAGTGGATAATATGCCAAAAGCTTTAAGGATATGCTAGATGAATGATTAATTTATCAATGTTTTAATCGAGGTAATTTCAACCCAATTTAAGTTAGTATTGAGTTAAAACAAAGCCAACTTAATAATAAAACTATTGGGCTTAAAGTGGAGCTAAATTATGTATGTTAGCGAGCCTAAACAACTTGGGTGGTGGTACTTGCAGACCCAAGTGATAGTATCGCTTAAACTAGCCAACAAGTACTATTTGTTCTTTGTTAACCTTTTAAAACAATGGTACCACTTAGGGCAATGATAACATCACTTAAAATTCAAAAATTATGATGATAGTACCATCAAAGTCCAGAATCATAACTCGCGTCAAAAATGTCGATAATACCACCCATATCTCAAAATTTCAAAGATTTAAAATTTTGACTCGATTCTTGAAGTCTTTTGGAACTTATAAATATCATACTTAGGCTTTGTTAATGGAACTTCTATTCTAAACTAGTAAAGTGTAAATCTTTTATGAAAAGATTTGAGCTTTCATTTTGAGCATAGTTTGAGTTTCCTTCTCTAAAGCTCGATTGAAATTCTAAGTTATAAAAGATAAAAAAAACTTTAAAAAGAAAAAATATTAATAAGAATTATTAATCTTCGCTTGTTGGAAAGAAAATCGATAGTAAAAACTAATAACTTTGAGAAAAGAATATTCAGGAGTGAACATAGATCGAATATGTTGATTTATTTCTCTTTAATGGTGATTTGTTTTATTTTTTTTACTAGTAAATTAACTTGGTCTCGATTTTGAAAATATGTTAATTTTTAGATCGAATTTTAAAATTAATTAAAATTATTATTATACTAATTCAACCCTCCTTAGTATCATTAAGATTCTAACAATATAAACTTTTATAATAAAATTAATAAAAACTCATTTAAAAATACATAAATAATATAACATTTGCACTCATCTATTTTTTACCACTTGCAATAATCACTTACATTAATTTATAATAAAAAATTCATGATTAAAACAATCATACTAACACATCATAAGATATATAAAGAACGAAAATCATATTTAAAACAAAGCTTATAACACTTAATCATATCCAGCAAGAGAAATAAATACTTACCCAGAATTTTATTATTTAAAAATAAAAATTATTATTTTAAATATTGCGTTGAATTAGTCCGTGAAACCCTTATATGTGGTGATCACGATGGCATGAAATTAAAGCAACGAAACATATGGGCGAAAGACAGTCACATCATCAATGACTACGACGATAAATCTGAGACTTGTTAGTTGCTGCTGTATCAAGTTATAAAAGGGCCAGCAAGCACTTCTCTGGCAACTCCACAATTTAATCAAGCTGATGACTGTCATTCCGCATGAATTATTGCCCTTTTATCTTCCCATTTGATTTCCAACTCCAATAATGATGTGTCTTCGAAATGTGTCTTGTGGTGATTTTGCAATCCCCCAACAATAGGACTCTTGTGTCGGTGGCAACCCTTCTCAGCCATTGCAACAAATACCTTGCATACCTTGCATCCCTTTATCAACAAATACCCGCATCATAAGGAGAAATCTAGATGGAATAACAAATCTTAAATCTACCCTTTGCAGAAAAAAGTGAAGTGTCATCTTGCGGTGAATAGTGCGCAGCAATCTTTGCAAGCATGCCGAAAGCACAAGAGAGTAAGAGAGCAGAAGGCAATATAAAATCAGAACCTTACTCCTCCCATGCCTACCAATAAAATATGTTAGGAGGAGCAACCCAAGAAATAGTGTCATCGACGCCTACCTTTAGTCTTCCAACTCCAATGCAGCGCACCAATTACCTCATCCCGATAACCTTCTCGGGTCAGAATCGGTGCTTGTCATTCCTCTTGTGCTTCACTACTCATACAGGTATCAAATCAACGAAATTTGTTTGAATGGATTGGATCCAAACCAAACTTCATAGATGGTGGCAGGAGGCTAGGAGTCCCTTCGGGAGGGCTGCGATAGACATACGACAAAAGATGATTTGCTGCTTCTACGAGTGGAAGAGGAGGAAGCAAGAGGCGCCAACCGGAGAGATATCTCTATCGGCAGAAGATGATGGGGTGGGACGATGGATAGAAGCGGCGGTGGCTCGGATTGTTCCTCCGAAGACCAATAACCAAAGGAATCCTACTAATATGGAAAACTATTAATCATCCTCTTCCCAAAGTGGGTCTTGCCCCTCGATATAACTTTTGCAAACTCTTAGGGGTAAATAAGTCAAAATATATATTTTTTAACAATTCAGATTTTCTCTGGCACCAACTAATGAATTGGTATCAAGTAAATTATACTAAACTAGCCATTCATAAAATTTGTACCATAATAAATACCAACTAATCATGATTAATTACTATATTATAAAATCATTACAAAATAAAATCAGTCGGATCAAGTTAGAGTATGACGTAGATCTAGTCAAGGAATTCATAAAATTTGTACAATAATGATTAAATGATTTAAACCACTGAGTGAATAAATAATAAATATTATATTATATTATTAAATTATTATTAAATAAAATCAATCCCATCAAGTCCAAGTATGATCTGGATCTGAGTTTTCTCTAGGTTATTCGAGTTCCTAGAATCGCATCATCAATCATGCTCAGATATGAGTGGTTGTCTTCTCCTGATCATCATCTGTTTTCAACTTGAAGATTTTTCTTTCTTCATCTTCTTCTCCAGAAACTGATTAACAAATTACAGATGTCATCAATTCTTGATTTATTTCTGTGCCTTTTTCTCCTCTTCTATAGGAAAGAAAGGTGTCCGTCCTTGTGGCCAGCAAATTCATGGACGCTACCATGCTACTTACTTCCCTTCGATTACTACCTCCAAAGCCGGCATAATCCGCACTCTGCAACATGGGCTCTGTTCTGCATTTCCACAGATGAACTTTTGGATAGTTCATTTATGATTTTTCTTTGAATATTAGGACACAATTTGCCAATAATCTGAGGGAACTGCAACCATTCGACTTGGAACATCTGCCGAAGCATTTTTTCTAATTGATGTGCCACCCACCGTATGACAATCTGCACATACTATCTATGTATGATAACTTCTTAGAGCAGATTTAACTCAAAATTCCTCTAGTCAATTTCAAGTCAAAGTTCCCTATAATAAAGCCATCATGCAATTTTCAGCAAATTTACATGCATAGATATTTCTGGCTAATTAGTGCTGCTCCCCTAAGAACACATTTCACTTGTGTGATCGATCTACTGAACCCAAGGCCTGATGCCTAGCTAATATGGAGGATGACATGCAGGAGAGTTTGTGATGGCATTTGCGTCTCAGAAACTTCGTCTACGCGTACATGGAATCCCCCCCCTTGGGTACCCAACCATGAGAGTGACCACTTCTTTAACAACTACTCTGTGCATCCAATGGCTACAAGGACAAGCATATGCTTCTAGTCCACAATGGAGGTCAAGCATATGGTAACTATGTGCGGTCCTCTACTTTTTGGATGACCCTCCACTTTAACAATGAATGTTGAACATGTCTCCAAAAGTTTGTCATTCATCTTATGCTCATGCATCGTATATTTGCCCGCGCTGGCGAACACAGTCTTGCTATGCAAGAAAGACCACCTCGATCTCTCACCTACACCAGTCTCCAGCTCTAAAACTAAATTGAAAGTTCCAAGCTTAAGACCGGACCGAACCCCGAATCCAAATATGCTACTTATTAATTGCTACTAGAAATTAAATTTGCTTAAGTAGATTTTCCAAATCTGCTTCTGCTCCTAAATCTACATGGTGGCATGGCAAAGACTTCAAGAATGAGTCGTTGCTCTCCTCCATCGTAGTGCAACATTCTTCACCCACCTTTTTTTCTCCCTTTTGCTTTCTATAAAGTAGAAAAATATTCTCTGGAGCTTTTAAAACGATTCGATCTCTTTCTTTAGTCACTTTCATCAACCAGGAATTGTCAAACATATCATGGACTGGGATTACTTTGGCCTCCCACTAACTATCCTATCGCAAACTTATCTCGGAGAAATGCTATGTAGGACCGGCAAAGGCCATGCATCCCACCACAGTCATCAGATTGTCCACCGCTATCACCTCATACCACGAAGGATCAAGACAAGTTTTGACACATTGATCATTCCCTGTCCCACATTAAAAAGAAAAAAAAAAAAAAAAGCTGTTGATCATTTCTATCTCCAAATTCATAAAGAGAAGGCAACATAAAATTGCCATCGGATTAATTTTCAAGCAACCGGTAATACTATATTTCCCTGATTCGAGACGGACTTAATGAGATGATTGCCGCAAGTTTGCATTTTCTAAACAAGGTGAACTGTGGCCTGAATCATGTTATGCAGTTTCTTGAGGATATGTTAAGACTGAAACAAAGGAATAAATCCTACGAAGCCTGATTTCTAAGAGCATCTTTGTGGTTGCAGGAGTTCCCAAAACAATCATGGTAGTCTATGTCAATAGTTGATCAAATACTTCATTCACTTTCCCTTCTTTGACAACCTTGAAGCACCCAGGAATTAAAGTAGCATATCAGAAATCTTCTTGATTCTTTGGTGTCAAGTATAAATCATGTTGTGAAAGCCTCGAGTAATCACGCAAAACAAGGTCACCGAGTCTCGAGTAAACACCACAATGAAACCAAGAAAACCATTTGAAATCCTCTCTATTTTTCTTCCTCGGTATTCCAAAGTACATCATATCATTCTTATATATAGACAAAGATCAAAGCCGAACGCCTACAGATAGATGGCAAAGCGCATGGCCTCCCCGACCATCAAATCACCTACCTCCGCTGCATGGAGACGGCCCCCTGCTTCCATGTCCTCAGCCTGGCATGCAAAGCAAGTCGCTACCGCCAGCGGCGCACGAGCGATCGCCAGCAGCGTCGCGAGAGCTCCCCACGGGCGGCGCGCGGCCGCTGCATCCTCGGGAGTGAGCGCCAGAGCCGCCTCGTCGAACACCCGTGCGCTGCGCTTCTTGGGCCATCTCAGCCTCCTCGTCACGGCCGACAGGAGCTGCAGCATGGCTACCACCGGGAGCTGTATCAAGTCAGAAAGGTAATGGAAGATGGTTTGCTTCTACCGACACCTCCAAACTTCTCCCTGCTCTCGAGGGGAATTCTAATGAGCAGGCGATGGGGGTTGGCCACTGCCTGCTCTCCTCTTTTTGCTGGTGCCTCTCTACCGAGAGGTGCAATGATTTGCTAAAGCAAGTACGATAGGGATGCACATACACGACGAAGTGACTCCCCTGGGAGTCTAAATGGAGACCTTGGATATGATCATGTTCCAACTTAGGCCAAATGGTTCTACTTTTTGCGTTAAATCGAACCCAGTTCATCCCTTAAAAGGTACTGTTCTTAGGTTCTGTGTTTCCTTTTCCTTTTCATCCACATGATGCCATGCCATTCCATTTCTTTATTTCCACCGGTAAAGTTAATTTGATCTCCTTGCGCTGGAATCCTACTTGACAGGAAACCGCAACCTGTTACTGATTTCGTACAGAAACAGGGAACAATCTACCATAACAATTGGTTTAGATGATCACATCTTCGTCAGAATGTAGAGATGAACCAAGTGGGAACAAAGAGTGCTGAATGAGTGCGTTACAGTGAGATGGAAAAGTGGTGAAGTGAAGTGATTTCTTGATCTCATTTTTCCACTACGTTATATTATATTGGGTGAATTGTAGTTGAGGTGGACCGTCATCATCCCCAATTATGAGAAAGTCAAATGGCATTAGCATGTAAGGTCAAGCACTTACCAAGCAAGATGGCAACTAGTGGCGTTCCAAAGGGAATGATGGCATGCACTTCCTCCCGAACAGAACTCTACACCACAGACTTCATAGTGGGAAGAGTCTTTTTGGATGAAATGGAATATGGGAGTCGAGTTGGACAAGTTGACGGGACTCTCTGCCGGGACTCTCTGGGCTTTGCTCGAGGCCACTTTTGAAGATCACATTTCTTGTCATGGTATCTTCCACCTGATGGATCGAGTAGCTGCTGAAACTTGATTTGCAACCTTGGAAGAGACGAGAGATAGATTTAGTCCATAGGAAGAGAAAGCAGGAGCAGGATCTCCTCCTCGTAGGTTTGGGCGTTGCACGCACTGCAATATGCAGATAACAACGCTCAGACTAATTTGGGTGCATGGAAAGTGGACAAGGATTAGGTTTCTCGGCCAAAAGGCTTGCTCATGAATCCAGCTGTGGCAGGCTTTATGATCACAAAGTGAAACAGCTTTTGGAACATATGTGTGGCTGCAGATGCTCATCCATCATCTATCTGCTTTGTAGGTTCCTTGGTTTGGCAAGGCAAGCTTCGTTTGTTTAGTAGCAGCAGGTGCAGACAAGAAGTAACGTGTTTGGTCCGCTCTACTGGCAATGATTAAAAGGTCGGATTCTACGTTCCGCATCCGATCACTTTTGCTGTTGCCCTCGGCGAGCAAACTTGTGTGGCTTCTTCACTTGGGATAAGATGAGGTAGAAGAAGGAGAATGCTGGTTGAAAGAAGAGTCCTTGCGATGGATAAGCATGCGAGCCAAACTATGAATCACATTAGTTATCTCTACTTTTGTTTTTTTGTTTTTTTATTTGTTATCCATTAGTCTTGATCTCAGTGGTTGAGAGATCCATTCCTGTTGCTGACCTGAATGCCTAGTGATGCAGCCAATTCGATATGCTTGCCACGATACGAGTCAATGGCCATGGTGGTCCGCTGGCTAACAACAATGTTTTCTTGGACTCAATTTGCTCCCTACCCATTCGAAACCATGTATAAGATTTGCAGCTTAAGTCACCAGGAACCATGACTCGGTAGATATGCCAATATGAGGCATTTCGGCAACAAACAAACGCTGATGGTACATGTATAACGTACCATCTTCTACGCATACCGTTAAAGAGAGAGTATCAGATAGATAAAAATAATATTTTTGATGCACAAGTGAGAAGGAAGAGAATCCAAAACTTCATTCACGGGTTTTTTTTTTTTTTTCGTTGCGAAAACAAGTTCCATCGAACGAAGACTTGGTTAATGCCATTGAACAGAAATAGTTTGGCAGGGTCACTTACAATAATCGAGGTTTTGGAGAACAAATCGGCTAAAAAAAAAAACTATGTCGGGAGGATCTCCCACTACAAAAC